AGTTTAGAAAAATTCTTATTGTATTTGGATATAATAAGTTTTTGAAAATTTTTAATTTTAATTTAGATAATTAGATCGTTTAAGAGTGCAGTAGGGTTGTCAGTATGAGATGTTATAAAACTAGGTTACAATTATGAGGAATAGCTTTTATACTAATGAATTTTACATTTTTAAATATTTTTAAAACAATAAAGTTAAAGATCAGAATCAAGAAATATAAATGCGTGGTCAATAATTACAAACTTGTGCATTTTAGAATACATTTTCTTTGTTAAAAATGAAAATAGTATAAACAAGTATAGAGAGAAGATTATTATTCGCTTTAATTTTATCTTAGCGCACTTTTCATTGCAATTTTAAATATAGCATAACTGCTTAATTACAATGCATACTTATATTTAATAAAATTGTTTATCTTACTTTACATCACATACCCAATCAACTCACCGGCATTTATTTCACTAAAATTCATTTTACAGTTAACGTAATTCTAATCAATATCATAAAAATTAGCTTAGAATTAAAGCTGACGTTAATGCAATTTATGAAAAAAACTTGTCTGTAAAATGAACTTCGATAAAGTATACCATCAGAAAATGATCATGTCAGCGAAACATAATGTCTATAAAGTGATTATCAGTAAAATAATACGACCCCGCATACCATCCTCAAACAATATCACTTAACAACAATAAAAAAACTTCTTAATATCGTTCGCTTCCACACTTTCTCTACTCAATCACACTTCCCATTTACTTTCTCTTTATACCCTATCATTTTTTGCCAAATCTTCCTTTCTTTCTTACCCTTTACACGCAACCCCTGCCTTAACACGACGCTTTACCTTGTTATCAATTATAAATAATTCATAGCGACTTCTTTAAATGACAAATAATAACAAATATTCTAAAGAAATCTAGCTTGTTTTAAAAAGTTGTGATTTAACGTTTTTATTAATATTCTTGGTTTAGAAATAACATCCGTGTACATCTCCAAATAACAGGTGAGAATTACTAGTGAAAATATAAAGGAACTATTGTGGTTTTTAAACTTCTTGCACCGTACGTGCATAGTATCGGTGAGTCAAGTTTAATATATTGGCTGATTTGATTGAACTCAAAAATATAAACTTCATTTTATTCATATTCTATGATTATAGTTTCCGTAAATTGATTTAGACTTTCGATTAACTTTGTATTCAACTTACTAATCTAAATAACTTCTTTAGGCACTATGCCAATTTTATCCCATTTTAGACAATCTCGGTCAGTTTCATTCAATTCTTTGTTTTCACCATCTACACTAACTCTCATCGCAATAAATGAGGGGGAAATAGAAATAGAGGGAGATACTACATCTTCTTTAGTAAGATCGATTATGGAAGTATTGTTATCTTCTATAGAAGTAACACGTTTTATAAAATCGCCACAACGTTCAATTGCTACTTGAGAAGGTTTAGAAAATAAATACATCTATATAATTGATCATACATAAAAATTTTATCAATACCGTGTAGTTATAACAAAAATAAATCACATGCCAATATATATATATATATTTTACTTACGTGCCAGACATGAGGCATATCATCATAAACTTCAAGTATAACTTTGGTAGGATTCTTAAAAGGCGACTTTTCGAAATTTTTAGTTGCATATGAAGGTACTTGATATTCATGAGGGTGTGCTGCTTTATGACTAAACAATATTGCTTCATCACGAAGCCTTTCTAATCCTCCAGTTTGCTAAATTAATATTACATTTTAGTTATATTCTTCGTTGTAAGTAATATATCTATTATAAAGATAATCATTGTAAAAAGTAACTTACACATAAGATAGGCGGTAAATCTCCCAAAGACTCTGCAAGCATAGGACTAGAAATCAATTATAATGGATATCTAATAAGTTTATTACAGTATATACCTAAATAAAATATATTAGATAAAAAGATGCATTTACCTAACGTAAGGGATAGCTAATGCTTCGTTAGCACAATACAATTGAACACGAGGTACTTCAGTGAATGAGGGATGACCAACGATGTTAGGCTTTTTTTGGGCAATTTTATCGGATAGAGTCTTGGTATTAGCGATAAATTCGTCTGCAAGAGGAGTCGAAGGCCGAATGTTAATTCGTTCTCCAATAATGTCAACTTTTTTAAATTCGGGATCCCAAAAAGATGGCATACTATGTGTTAAGTCTACCTATTTTAGAGATATTAAATTATGTTAATTTTTTATCGATTTGAAATTGAGTCTAAAATATATACATACCCATGGTGACTTGAAAGTGTTATGTAAATAAATAATTTGTACGTATGTAAATGTGAATGAAATAAAAGCATTTATTTTACTTAATGCTCACCAATACAACTGCACCTCCCGGTAAAGGTAACCCAGCATCCCTTAAAAATAAGAGTGTTGCAAGAGTTAAACCACCTCCTGCACTCTCTCCCATAATTACAATCCTTTTAGGATTAATCGGTTTAAACCCAGCATCTGATTCAGGGTTTATAAGATAAAGATATGCTGCAACTGAATCACAAAGGGATGCAGGAAATTGATTTTGTGGCGCAAGACGATAATCAGTTGCTAATTTAGCAAGATTTTATCAAGAATTAGTTACTGTATTGACAGTTTAAAGTATCATTAATCCCGAATAACTTACAAAAAACCCGAGCTTTAGCATGCTTTGCGTATTCAAATGTAAAATTTCTACTAAATTTAGCTGAACCAATACAATATGCGCCACCATGTAAATGGAGTACTACTTTATCCATTTCATTGTTTTCACTTTCTTCTTCTTCCTTCATATATACCCATTCACCATAGATTCTATCCTTTGGTTCTTTCCATTTCTCGTCCAACACATCTTCATATTTTTTTAAAACTTTTTCTAAATGTAATATACTCTTTTGCCTGTATTGCTCATCTAATATAACTTCCTTTATAATTATATTAGGAGGAGTTTTCACAGGTTCTTCAATTTGCTTTTCATTAGGTAATATCCATATGTTAATGTTATATTTAATCATTGCCACAGCTAAATGAAACTTTAGGCTCCATGATTTTACGGGTGGACCTTCTGTAAAATGTTTAAATACGGTCGTAAATAATAAAGAAAGAGACATTTGTTTAATTATTTTTTTTAGACAACCAAGAAAAATGAACAGCTTTTAATACTTTTAATGATAATATTTATATAGTATAGGTGTGGTTAGATCTTATTCAGATATGAGCATATAATTTTATCCTGCTTATTTAATAACCCGGTAGATCTCCCGGCTATACGAGGACCTCATGTAACCGGATATTTATCATCAGGAAATTTTTAAATTGGTTGGCAATCGATTGACAGAAAGAAATGTCAATCGATAAGCAGCACCCCTGCCGATTACCAGCGATACTGGTTAGAATCGAATGACAACAAAGCTGCTAGTAAAATCGATTAGAATCGCTTTGATTGAAATCGATTGATGTCAAAACTAAATTAAAATCGATTATTTTTTTTTAATCAATTGTGCATCGATTAGTTACCAATATCGATTATTATCGATTTTCCTAATCGATGGCAATCGCATCTGCAGCTAGTAATCGATATCCACCCAATTTAAAAATTTCCTGATGATCTTTTATTCCTGTAATTAAGAGAAATAAATAGCAGTTTCATAAATTTGGAATAGCTGAAATTTTCCGACATCAAAAGCTTATTGATTCGATCGCCGCCAAGTAAGCCATCATCGCGCACCATACAAAACGAAGAATAGCGACCAAATTTTCCAAGGTAACATAGTGGTGGTAGAAAATTCGTGATCAGATGATTATGACCCAATCAATGATCAATAAACTTCTGGCTGCATTATGAAGTTCAGAACGATCAAAAATCACCTGATCGCGATTTTTTTTTGACATACGGTAAGAAAATAACCCGGTAGATCAGGGTCATATAGGGCTCTTATATAGGGACACGGAATTTATGTAATGTATATCAGTATCGCTAAACAAGACCCTGGAATCCATTCTTATTAAATGAATAATTCAGGCGTTTCCCTTTGCGGCTCATATAAAATATATTCGGGTTACTGCTCTATTACGTCAGATTCGAATAAGCCTTTATTGATAATTATTTAGTTTGAATAGATACAAGTTTTTTAATAGTAAAATATCAGGCTTAATGTTTAACCATTTTTACTAAAACGCACCTATGGTGTTTTACCACCTATGTTGCATTACCTTAAAAACTGGCTAACTAATTAATATGCGATGCTTTAAGTAAAAATGCTCTACAACCTCAAAAACCCTTCCTAAACCTTAATTATATCACTAAATACCAACCCAAACATGAAAAATTTATACTAAAAATTTTATATAAAGAAAAGGTATTCGTATCTATAAAAATCGACTATTCTGACGAACCTTTGTCTATGATGTTATATATGCTACATAGTGATCTAGTGCTCGGCAAAATCAAACAAAAACTCGATTATCGAGTTTTTGAATCTATCGATTTATAGTATTATGCTTCAATTATAAAATCTATGTTTACTCTAATCTGACTTTAAACTTTATGTTAGTTACTACGAAGTCTAAAATAAGATCGGATTCCTGTTAGATTTATATATAAAATTTGTATTTAATGCACAACATTGTAAGTTGATAGATTCAAAAACTCGATAATCGAGTTTTTGTTTGATTTTGCCGAGCACTATTTGTATCACCCTTATATTGGGCTTGTTGGATTTTATGAATTATGATTACAAATACTAACTATAAGTTATTACCTCATATTTTATGCACTTGACTATTTGATGACTAAATAACTAATGCAAATCGAATGCCCTTTGTTACTTTCGCTATGACTAATTAATGACTACATAATTCATGCGTCACCGTGACAGGTATCATGGCTCTGATCACGAGCTAGGATCGCATGCCTGGATCACAGGCTTGCACAGGGCTTGGGTTCAAGGCTTGATTGTTATACCATCCCTTTCTTAAAGACCTTCCCTCTTTCTTTTTGCTTTTGCTCTTAACCGTTCTTGCTTTTGGTTTGTCAGAGTATCATTGGTGAAAGACTTTGACAGCTTCTTGTGCATGAGCTATATTTTCGGCAGGTTCCCAGGAGCGTTCGTTAACGTCATAACCTTTTCAATCAACCAGGTAGTGTAGTTTCTTTCGAATTGATTTTGAATCAAGTATTTCATTTACTTCATATTCTTTTTCGCCCTCTATGACCACAGGAGGTGGTGGTACTGATGATCTACCAAGAACTGTATTAGCAATATAAGGTTCCAGCAAAGAGATGTGAAAAACGTTATGAATCCTAAAATTAGGAGGTAAAATCAAGTGGTATGCGACTGGGTTAATTATCTTTGAAATAGTATACAGCCCCAGTTTTTGATAGTCTAAGTTCTTAGACGGTCATATAGTATGAATATTACGGCTTAAAAGCCAGACTTTGTCACCAACTTTGAAATTTGGACTTTCTCGGCGTCATTGATCTGCATTTTTTTTATAGCATTCCTGTGCCTTTTTTAGTTCTCTAATGACCGTCTCTTTTATTTGTTGTAGTTGAATGGTCTTATCTTCAGTGGAGGGGACTGAGGGCTGAAAAGGTGTCTGCAAGTCAAAATGAGGATGGAAGCCGTAATTGGTAAAGAAGGGTGTAGACTTGGTGGAAGCATGAACTGAATTGTTATACACGAACTCTGCCAATGGTAGTAAGTTGACCCAATTGTCTTGATGGTAATTGATTGTACATCTCAAGTATTGCTCTAACACCTGATTAACCCTTTCACTTTGCCCATCTGACTGAGGGTGGTAGGCCGAAGACAAATTGATTTGGGTTCCTAATAAATTAAAAAGATGCTTCCAGAATTTAAAGGCAAATTGTGGCCCTCTATCTGAAGTGATATCTCTTGGGACTCCGTGGAGACGTATCACTTCCTTTAATATCAATTGTGCTGTTTGTTTGGCATTGATATTTTTATTATATGTGATAAAATGTGCCATTTTCATTAGCCGATCAACTACAACGAGAATGGAATCGAATCCCAAAGATGTAGGTAGATCCGTGATAAAATCCATGGAAATGGACTGCCATGGTTGGGTAGGTATGGGCAAGAGAACTAGTAATCCATAAGAACTATGTCTAGAAATTTTGGATCTAGCACAAGTATTGCAAGATTTAATATAGTTTTTTACAAAAGAGCAAAGCTTTGGCCACCAATAATCGCGTGTTATCAACTCTGTTGTTTTCGCCACCCCAAAATGACCTGCTAATTCTGAATCATGTCTCTTTTGCAATACTTTTAATCTTTCTGGTGTGTTAGATACGTACAATAGGCCTTCCCTGAACAGTAACCCATCAGAAAATTGGAACATGAGGTAATCGGAACGTTTATTTGAACCACTGTTGTCGGGGTGTTTCTTGTGCTTAATTATGTCTAAAGCTAGTGGATCCCTCTTCAACTGGTTACTAATTCAGTCCCTCATGGCGGTATCAAATAGTACTACGAAGGTAGCACTTATAAGAGATTCTGGGCCTTTAACACTGTAGTGTGCTGCTGAGTCACTGTTTCATCGCCATCTTGAGGTTGGTAATCTGATCTTCTAGATAAAGCATCAGATTTTCCTTGTTCTTTCTCTAACTGAAACACAATCCTGAAGTTGTAACTTGAGAGGAGTAGGGACTATCTGGCTTGACGATGACTAAGATTTTTTGCATTGGTAAAATATTGTAAATTTTTATGATCGCAGTAGACAGTGATTTCATGTTGGGCACCTTCCAGATAGTGCCGCCATTGCTTGAAGGCTGTTATTATTGCAAGCAATACTTTGTCATGGACATCATAGTTGATCTCTGCTGGGGTAAGTTTTCATGAATAATAGGCAAGAGGATGGAGATTTCCTTCATGCAATTGGGATAGAACAACCCCCAGAGCGTAATTGGAGGCATCAGTTTCAAGGTAATATGGTTTTGTTGGGTCAGCTTGAGCTAGTATTGAGGCGAAAGTGAAAGCTCTTTTTAACGAGATGAAGGCTTGCTGAGCTGCTGATGTCCAAACAAAGGCCTTTGCTTGAAATTTTCGTATTAAATTGGTTAAGGGTATAACCAATTTGGAATAATCTCTGATGAAATGCTGATAATAGTTGGAAAATCCCAAAAACCGTTGCACCTCTTGAACTGAGGTTGGAATAGGCCAAGTAAGGATGCTTTCAACCTTTCTTGGATCCATTTGAATTTCCTAATGGGTGATATGATAACCCAAGAAGTTCATGCTCTCTTTGTCAAATTCGCATTTTTCTAACTTAGCAAACAAGCCATTTTGACACAGCCGTTCTAGTACTAACTTTATGTGCTGGTCATGTGACTTTTGATTAGGTGAAAATATTAATCTATCATCCAAATAAATAATTACAAATTGGTCCAAAAGGTCTCTAAATAAGTCATTCATTAAATGTTGGAACATGGCTGGTGCATTGGTGAGCCCGAAGGGCATCAACAGGTACTCAAAATGCCCATACCGTGTACAAAAGGCCATTTTCCATTTGTCTCCCAGCCTTATGTAAACCAGATTGTATGCCCCTCTCAGATCAAGTTTCGTAAAAACTCGGGCAGATGCAAGACGATCTAATAACTCAGATATTAACGGGAGGGGTAACAGTTTTTAATCGTAATATAATTTAAACCCTAGTAATCAACACACATACGCAAGGTACTATCTTTCTTTTTGACAAACAGTACAGGGGCTCCTGCTGGTGATTTTGAATGTTTGATGAACCCTTTTTCAAGATTTTCTTTAACATAGTTCCTCAATGTTTCAAGCTCATGCATAGAGAGTTTGTAAATGGGTCCCCACAGAGGTTGTTTTTCAGATAATAAATCAATGTCACAATCATACTGTTGATTTTCAGATAACTTATCAGCCTCTTTCTTGTTGAATACGTTATTAAACAACTTATACTTTCCAGGAAGAACTGGTGAATTCAAAGAACATGAGGTAGTTGCCATAGCGGCGAAAACCTGGACCATAAAAATTTGGTTTCTGCCTGCGATATTGGTTCTTGGTGGTGTTGCATTTGTAAGGTGCTCTTTGCAGTTTGGATCAGAAAAGGTAATAGATTGCTTGCGCCAATTGATTTCAGGGTTATGTAAGGCTAACCAAGGTAAATCTAAGATCATTTTATAATGAGGGGACAGAATAAGGTTGAAGGAAATTTTCTCATAGTGTTCAGTTAGTAATTCGTATGCAACCTAATCGCTACCCAAATGATCAAGCACAAGTGGGCCTGTTTGGAAGTTTACTTACAGAACCAGCCCTTGCATGGTTTGCCCTGTTATTAGAAAACGAATCGCCAATACTGGAAACCTTCACGAATCTGGTAAAAGAGTTCGAAGCTACATTCGGTAATACAGACAAATCCAGAACAGCCTCAAATAAAATTTGAAAACTTACCCAAGGATCCAGGCCAGCTTCGAGTTATGCTTCCGAATTCTGACAAATCACTGGTGATTTGAATTGGGGTGAAGCAGCTTTTATTGCCCAATTTAGAAATGGACTCTGGAATGATATAAAGGATTTGCTTCTTACCGTTGAAGACCCTACCTCCCTAAATAATGCCATTACAAAAGCAGTTAGATGTGATAATCGGTTGTTTGAACAAAAACAAGAATGACAACATGGCTTGAGCGCAGAACAACATCAACCGCAAGCCTCTAATAGTTCAACAGCCTCTATCGGAGTGCCCATGCAAATAGACACTATAAGATTCAAGCCACTGTCTGAGGAGGAGAAGAAACGACATCGCACCAACAACCTTTGTCTTTACTGTGGTAAACTGGGACACATCATTAGGAACTGTTCCAAAAAAAATAATGCACCGCCCAGAATTGGTGCTTTAGTTGTTACAGATGAATTGTCGGGAAAAGAAGTGACCCAGTCGCAGTAGAGGAGCTTCGACTGGATCAAACAATTAATTCATCCTCTAAAAGAATATCACCTAACAAACCTGTATCAGCGCTTACACCAACATTGCTCCTCACCTGCCGGATGGTTCCCAAATAAACTTACAAGCTTTGATCGATTCGGGAGCTTCAGCATGTTTTTTGGACATAACTTTGGCCCAGGAATATAACTTATCTATTCTAAAAAAGGAAACACCGCTATCAGTGGAGATGGTTGTCAGTCAGGAAATATCGTCCAGAACTGTAACACATGAAACAGAACCACTACTTTTGCACTTTCAAGAACACTATGAGAAAATTTCTTTCAACATTATTCCATCTTCTCATTATAAAATGATCTTAGGTTTACCTTGGTTAGCCTTACATAACCCTGAAATCAATTGGCGCGAGCAATCTATTACCTTTGCTGATTCAAACTGCAAAGAGCACCTTTCAAATGCAACACCACCAAGAACCAATATCACGGGCGGAAACCAAATTTTTATGGTCCAGGTTTTCGCCGCTATGGCAACTACCTCATGTTCTTTGAATTTGCCAGTTCTTCCTGGAAAGTATAAGGTGTTTAGTGACATATTCAACAAGAAAGAGGCTGATAAGTTACCTGAAAATCGACAGTACGATTGTGCCATTGATTTATTACCTGAAAAACAACCTCCGTGGGGACCCATTTACAAACTCTCTATGCAGAAGCTTGAAACATTGAGGAACTATATTGAAGAAAACCTTGAAAAAGGGTTCATCAGACATTCAAAATCACCAGCAGGAGCCTCTGTACTGTTTGTCAAAAAGAAAGATGGTACCTTGCATATGTGTGTTGATTACTGGGGATTAAATCGTATTATGATTAAAAACCGTTACCCCCTCCCATTAATACCTAAGTTATTAGATCGTCTTACATCCGCCCAAGTTTTTACGAAACTTGATCTGAGAGGGCATACAATCTGGTTTGCATAAGGCTGGGAGACGAATGGAAAACGGCCTTTCATACACGGTATGGGCATTTTGAGTACCTGGTGATGCCCTTCGGGCTCACCAATGCACCAGCCGTGTTCCAACATTTAATGAATAACTTATTTAGAGACCTCTTGGACCGATTTGTAATTATTTATTTGGATGATGTATTAATATTTTCATCTGATTAAAAGTCACATGACCAGCACGTAAAGTTAGTACTAGAACGGCTGCGTCAAAATGGCTTGTTTGCTAAGTTTGAAAAATGTGAATTTGACAAAGAGAGCATGGACTTCTTGGGTTACCATATCACCCATCAGGGAATCTAAATGGATTCAAGAAAGGTTGAAAGCATCCTTACTTGGCCTATTCCAACCTCAGTTCGAGAGGTGCAACAGTTTTTGGGATTTGCCAACTATTATCAGCATTTCATCAAAGATTATTCCAAATTGGTTACACCCTTAACCAATTTAACACAAAAATCTCAAACAAAGGCCTTTGTTTGGACATCAGCAGCTCAGCAAGCCTTCATCTCATTAAAAAGGGCTTTTACTTCCGCCCCAATACTAGCTCAAGCTGACCTAACAAAACCATATTACCTTAAAACTGATGCTTCCAGAATTTAGAGTCAAATTGTGGCTCTCTATCTGAGGTGATATCTCTTGGGACTCCGTGGAGGTGTATCACTTCCTTTAATATCAATTGTGCTATTTGTTTGGCATTAATATTTTTATTACATGTGATAAAATGTGCTATTTTTGTTAGCCGATCAACCACAACGAGAATGGAATCGAATCCCAAAGATGTAGGTAGGTCCGTGATGAAATTCATGGAAATGGACTGCCATGGTTGGGTAGGTATGAGCAAGGGAACTAGTAATCCATAAGGACTATGCCTAGAAATTTTGGACCTAGCACAAGTATCGCAAGATTTAATGTAGTTTTTTACGAAAGAGCGAAGCTTCGGCCACCAATAATCGTGTGTTATCAACTCTGTTGTTTTCGCCACCCCAAAATGACCTGTTAATTCTGAATCATGTCTCTTTTGCAATACTTCTAACCTTTCTGGTGTGTTAAATACGTACAATAGGCCTTCCCTGAACAGTAACTTATCAGAAAATTGGAACATGTAGTAATCGGAACATTTATTTGAACCACTATTGTCAGGGTGTTTTTTGTGCTTAATTATGTCTAAAGCTAGTGGATCCCTCTTCAACTGGTTACGAATTCGGTCCCTCATGGCGGTATCAAATGGTACTACAAAGGTAGCACTTATATAGAGATTCTGGGCCTTTAACACTGTAGTGTGCTGCTGAGTTACTGTTTCATCACCATCTTGAGGTTGGTAATCTGATCTTCAGATAAAGCATCAGATTTTTCTTGTTTCTTTCCTGACCGAAACACAATCCTGAAGTTGTAACTTGAGAGGAGTAGGGACCATCTGGCTTGACGACGACTAAGATTTTTTGCATTGGTAAAATATTGTAAATTTTTATGATCGCAGTAGTCAGTAATTTCATGTTGGGCCCCTTCCAGATAGTGCCGCCATTGCTTGAAGGCTGTTATTATTGCAAGCAATTCTATGTCATGGATGTCATAGTTGATCTCTGCTGGGGTAAGTTTTCGTGAATAATAGGCAAGAGGATGGAGATTTCCTTCATGCAATTGGGATAGAACCGCCCCCAGAGCGTAATCGGAGGCATCAGTTTCAAGGTAATATGGTTTTGTTGGGTCAGCTTGAGCTAGTATTGGGGCGGAAGTGAAAGCCCTTTTTAACGAGATGAAGGCTTGCTAAGCTGCTGATGTTCAAACAAAGGCCTTTGCTTGAGATTTTCGTGTTAAATTAGTTAAGAGTGTAACCAATTTGGAATAATCTCTGATAAAATGCCAATAATAGTTGGCAAATCCCAAAAACCATTGTACCTCTCGAACTGAGGTTGGAATAGGCCAAGTAAGAATGCTTTCAACCTTTCTTGGATCCATTTGGATTCCCTGGTAGGTGATATGGTAACCCAAGAAGTCCACGCTCTCTTTGTCAAATTTGCATTTTTCTAACTTAGCAAACAAGCCATTTTGATGCAGCTGTTCTAGTGCTAACTTTACGTGCTGGTCATGTGACTTTTGATCAGGTGAAAATATTAATATATCATCCAAATAAATAATTACAAATCGGTCCAAGAGGTCTCTAAATAAGTCATTCATTAAATGTTGGAACACGGCTGGTGCATTGGTGAGCCCGAAGGGCATTACCAGGTTCTCAAAATGCTCATACCATGTACGAAAGGCCGTTTTCCATTCGTCTCCCGGCCTTATGCGAACCAGATTGTATGCCTCTCTCAGATCAAGTTTCGTAAAAACACGGGTGGCTGCAAGACGATTTAATAACTCAGGTATTAACGGGAGGGGGTAACGGTTTTTAATCGTAATACAATTTAAATTCCAGTAATCAACACACATACGAAAGGTACCATCTTTCTTTTTGACAAACAGTACAGGGCCTTCTGCTGGTGATTTTGAATGTCTGATGAACCCTTTTTCAAGGTTTTCTTCAATATAGTTTCTCAATGTTTCAAGCTCCTGCATAGAGAGTTTGTAAATGAGTCCCCACAGAGGTTGTTTTTCAGGTAATAAATCAATGGCACAATTGTACTGTCAATTTTCAGGTAACTTATCAGCCTCTTTCTTGTTGAATACGTCACTAAACACCTTATACTTTCCAGGAAGAACTGGCAAATTCAAAGAACATGAGGTAGTTGCCATAGTGGCGAAAACCTGGACCATAAAAATTTGGTTTCCACCCGCGATATTGGTTCTTGGTGGTGTTGTATTTGAAAGGTGCTCTTTGCAGTTTGGGTCAAAAAAGGTAATAGATTGCTCGTGCCAATTGATTTCAGAGTTATGTAAGGCTAACCAAGGTAAACCTAAGATCATTTTATAATAAGGGAATGGAATAAGGTTGAAGGAAATTTTCTCATAGTGTTCTTGAAAGTGCAAAAGTAGTAGTTCTGTTTCATGTGTTACGGTTCTAGACGATATTTCCCGACCGTCAACCACCTCCACTGATAGCAGTGTTTCCTTTTTTAGAATAGATAAGTTATATTCCTGGGCCAAAGTTATGTCCAAAAAACATGCTGAAGCTTCCGAATTGATCAAAGCTTGTAAGTTTATTTGGGAACCATCCAGCAGGTGTAGGTGCAATGTTGGTGTGAGCACTGATACAGGTTTGTTAGGTGATATTCTTTTAGAGGATAAATTAATTGTTTGATCTAGTCGAAGCTCCCCTACTGCGACTGGGTCTCTTATTTCCTGACAATTTATCTGTAACAACTAAAGCACCAATTCTGGGCGATGCATTATTTTTCTTGGGACAGTTTCTAATGATGTGTCCGAGTTCACCACAGTAAAGACAAAGGTTGTTGTTATGACGTCATTTCTTCTCCTCCTCAGACAGTGGCTTGAATCTTATGGTGTCTATTTGCATGGGCACTCCGACAGAGACTGTTGAACTATTAGAGGCTTGCGGTTGATGTTGTTCTGCGCTCAAGCCACGTTGTCGTTCTTGTTTTTATTCAAACAACCGATTATTATATCTAACTGCTTTTGTAATGGCATCATTTAGGAAGGTAGAGTCTTCAACGGTAAGAAGCAAATCCTTTATATCATTTCAGAGCCGTTCCTAAATTGGTCAATAAAAGCTGCTTCACCCCAATCCAAATCACCAGCGATTTGTCAGAATTCAGAAGCATAACTAGAAGCTGGCCTGGATCCTTGGGTAAGTTTTCGAATTTTATTTGAGGCTGTTCTGGATTTGTCTGTGTCACCGAATGTAGCTTCAAACTCTTTTACCAGATTCGTGAAGGTTTTCAGTATTGGCGATTCGTTTTTCAATAACAAGGCAAACCATGCAAGGGCTAGTCCTGTAAGTAAACTTCCAAACAGGCCCACTTGTGCTTAATCATTTGGGTAGCGATTAGGTTGTATACGAATTACTAACCGAACTTGGTTTAGGAAGCCTTTACATAGGGCTCTTGTTCCAAAAGAAGTAAGTAGGGAGATTAAAGCATGTATAAGAGATTGTTAGAGAAGGTTTGGTGGAGCCTTGTTTGGCTAGCAGATCAGCTTGATTATAGAGTAAGTTAGTTGAATGTGATTTAACTTTGACGAAATTAATGAGAATATTTTTGGTAGATTTGATAGAGTTGATAATAGAGATTATATCCCAGTTTTTGATTTGAATAAT